ACTTGGGAGTAAGGCCAGACAATGAATGGCCCCTCCCAGAGGACATAAAAGAGGAGCGAAAGGGGAGTGGAGTTTGCAGGAGACAATTAGTTCGCTTAATTGGTTTGTGCCTCTCCGAGACTCCTTGCCACATTTTGCAGATATCGGCTTTCCAAGCTCTCCAAGCCAGATAAGGTCTGTGACTGTAAATCCTCCCTTGAAAGACTTTGCTGGATGCAAATGAGCAGAATTCAGTCAATTAATTTGTCAGGGCCAAGAGTTTGGGAAGCCTTGATCAGAACATCACTGTGTCACCACAGCTCATAATATTCTTTGAGGAATCTACCTGCCTTGTAGTTTTTGCTAGCGATGGATCTATTACTTGGAACCCTGACACTGTACCAAGGTCTCTAATGCTAGTACCGACTCAAGCAATACTGCAAATGGTAGCGTTGGCTCTTACTTGTGTCCCAGTTCGTGAGCAATGGTGAAGGCCAGGTTGAGTCCGTTGTCTTCTGCAAGGACACACTTCCTCTTCAAGCTGCAGATTCCCCCAAGGTAAGCAATGCCTGGAGAAAATAAGAACAGGCTCCATCAAGGCCAGTATAGCACAGGTGATCCTCAACGCCCAACCGCAATGGAGCCCAACAGTTCTGCTGCTAAGTGAAACGTTGGTTAAGTGAGGTTTGCTCCATTTCATGACCTTTCTTGCCGCAGTGTTAAGTGAAACACGGCAGTCGTTAAGTTAGTAACACGGTTGTTAAGTGAATCTGGCTTTCCCCATTGACTTTGCTTGTCAGAAAGTCGCAAAACAGGGAGCATGAGTCCCTGGGACACAGCAATTATCATAAGTATGAGTCAGTTGCCAAGTGTCCAAATGTTGATCTTGTGAATATGGGGATATTGCAAAGGTTGTGAGTCTGAAATTAGATCATAAATAACATTTTTTCAGTGCTGTTGTTAAGTTTGAATGGTTAGCAATTGAAGTCAAAGACCACCTGTAAACAGTTTGCATTTTTAAATTTTAATTTGTTTCAACTCCTATCCACAAAACGATGCTATAGAGCACTGCACACCAAGACAACTAGACGCAAGAACAGTTTTTTTCTGCTAACCAAATAATTCCCTTGGCACTATCGAACTATTCACTAAGGCTGCGTTACTATTACTATTAGTCTTCTCATCGCTCCTATCACCCATCTCCTCCCACTTATGACCGCAGGACTGTAACTTTGTTGATTGCATCCTTACGATTTACATTGATATTGATTGTTTCCTGATTGCTTATATGTACCCTATGAGTATCATTAAGTGTTGTACCTTATGATTCTTTTTTTTATTTTTATTGTCTTTTTTATTTTATTTTATTTTTTTAATTTTTATTTTTTTTGCTGTTATATTGTTTTTATTTTCCATTTTTCATTTTCATACAGTCACATATATACTGTGCATAACCGGGGCCATA